GTATATAGGAGAACTACAACAATATAGATATCGGTCACTGTGGCGTATCAAGTATGTACATATCAGAACTATACCAATATATATATCGGCCACTGTGGCCTATCAAGAATGTACATAGCAGAACAACAACAATATATGTATCGGTCACTGTGACCTATCAAATATGTACATAGCAGAACAACAACAATATATGTATCGGTCACTGTGACCTATTAAGTATGTACATAGCAGTACTACAACAATATATGTATCGGTATATCGGTCACTGTGGATATATCGGTCACTGTGACCTATCATGTATGTACAGAGCAGAACTACACCAATATATACATCGGTCACTGTGGCCTGTCAAGTATGTACATAGCAGTACTACAACAATATATATCGGTCACTGATGTCTATCAAGTATGTACATGGCAGAACTACACCAATATATATATATATATCGGGCACTGTGGCCTATTAAGAATGTACATAGCAAAAGTACAACAATATATATATGTATCGGTCACTGTGACCTATCATGTATGTACAGAGCAGAACTACACCAATATATACATCGGTCACTGTGGCCTATCCAGTATGTACATAGCAGAAGTACACCAATATATATATATATATATATTGGGGTAGTTCTGCTATGTACATGCTTAATAGGCCACAGTGCCCGATATATATTGTTGTAGTTATGCTATGTATATACTTGATAGGCCATACTGACCGATATATATATTTTTGTAGATCTGCTATGTATATACTTGATAGGCGTCAGTAACCGATATACATATATTGTTGTACTTTTGCTATGTACATGCTTAATAGGCCACAGTGACAGATATATATATTGTTGTAGTTCTGGTATGTATATACTTAATAGGCCACAGTGACCGATATATATTGTTGTAGTTCTGCTATGTACATGCTTAATAGGCCACAGTGACCAATATCTATATTGTTGTAGTTCTGCTATGTACATGCTTAATAGGCCACAGTGACCGATATATATATATTGTTGTACTTTTGCTTTGTACATGCTTAATAGGCCACAGTGACAGATATATATATTGTTGTAGTTCTGCTATGTACATTCTTAATAGGCCACAGTGACAGATATATATATTGTTTTAGTTCTTCTATGTACATGCTTAATAGGCCACAGTGACCAATATCTATATTGTTGTAGTTCTGCTATGTATATACTTGATAGGCCACAGTAACTGATATATATATTGTTGTACTTTTGCTATGTACATACTTGATAGGCCACAGTGACTGATATATATATTGTTGTAGTTCTGCTATGTATATCCTTGATAGGCCACAGTAACTGATATATATATTGTTGTTCTTTTGCTATGTACATACTTGATAGGCCACAGTGACCGATATATATATTGCTGTACTTCTGCTATGTACATACTTGATAAGCCACAGTGACCGATATATATATTGTTGTAGTTCTGCTATGTACATAATTAATAGGCCACAGTGACTGATATATATATTGTTGTAGTTCTGCTATGTATATCCTTGATAGGCCACAGTAACTGATATATATATTGTTGTGCTTTTGCTAGTACATACTTGATAGGCCACAGTGACCGATATATATATTGCTGTACTTCTGCTATGTACATGCTTGATAAGCCACAGTGACCGATATATATATTGTTGTAGTGCTGCTATGTACATACTTAAAAGGCCACAGTGACCTATATATATATTGTTGTACTTTTGCTATGTACATACTTGATAGGCCACAGTGACCGGTATATATATTGTTGTAGTTCTGCTATGTACATACTTAAAAGGCCACAGTGACCGATATATATATTGTTGTACGTTTGCTATGTACATACTTGATAGGCCACAGTGACCGATATATATATTGCTGTACTTCTGCTATGTACATACTTAATAGGCCACAGTGACCGATATATATATTGGTGTACTTTTGCTATGTACATACTTGATAGGGCACAGTGACCGGTATATATATTGTTGTAGTTCTGCTATGTACATACTTAATAGGCCACAGCGACCGACCTATATATTGGTGTAATTCTGCTATGTATACATGCTTAAAAAAATATTTCCTCTCCGCTGTACATCTTTGATATATGATTATAATTTGAGGTAGCAGATTAAATGGAGGGAGCGTAGATTGTGAAATAAAGGGTGAGACATGATAAAAGTAATATCTCACCTAACAACACACCCATATTAAACTTGTATTAAAAGTCAACGTCACATCAATCGTGACTCGGTTCGGCCAGCCATTCGTTTTTGTTATCAGTAAGCAGGTAAAATGTAATGTGCTTTGTTTACTATCACACCCCTGTGACCGCCAGTCTGAACCGCAACCAAATACGACAGATCAGGGAGAGGGAGTACAGACCGTTACATATAGCAACTGGACGTCATTCACCGACAGGCCTGTGCCATTATTCCAAGAAGCCGTGCTAGCCTCAGCCTCGTCCATTTATTGCAAGTCATTTTAATTAAGAAATAAATTATGAAAATACATGATTTAAAAGTGCTCATACTTGTTGTGTGGGAATGCATCAATGTTTAGGTCCGCATGCACTACACTGTATAGCTATAATGTACACGCATAACAGTGACAGCAGAGTGCGATCTTGCAATTCGTTAAAACGAGAAAGTGATGTAGTTTAATCTGGCTTATATACTATTATTAAGAACGATATCGAAGTGAGTGATAATATGAAAAGGCAAATCCTTAAAAGAGCGTAGCTTTTGTTGATCTCTGATATTTACTGATTCCGAATACTGCTTTCAGAATGAGATAAGATAAACTTTATTTAAAGTCGGCTAGTCGAGGAATAAGAATAAAGCATAAGCTCTAATGAGAGTAAGCTTAAGACCGAATTAATAATAGGAAAGGTCGGAGCAAGTTCGGCCTATTCTTTATTAAAGTCTGTTGTGGGAAATATGACAGCACGTCCGTTTTTGAACATTATTTTAAGTTTCCCTGCCGGAAGATCGGATCGCCGAACGAGCCCCGCCATGGGATAATTTCGGACAGGCATTCAGGTAAGTTCGGCCCACATTGGAATCAGCTTAATTATGACGTCATAAAGCAGGCAACGTCAGATTTTACCGCCAATTTTATGACTTTTTATGTGATACATGGGCCGAACTTGCCACGGTATTATTAGCCGAACCTGTCCAGGCCCAAATTGACATTACAATAAATTCTTATCGTATAGCAATATGGTAGTGAGTGCTTGGCTTGGCTTTTATGTTTTTGAAGCTGTCAGTTTGTTACACGTCTGACCGTAAAAAGGGCGCAATTCCGTTTACAGAAAGTTCGCATTAGTAGAAGCGAGATCATGATTTTCTTTCTTCCCTCTCAAAAGTAATTTTCTCCTGTTTAGTCATTTTACATTAGAGTTTTCCTCGCCATTTTTTCGTGTGAATGCCCAGTCAACTTAACTGTTAAGATCCTTAAAGTTGTAAATATTTGCTCAAAACATAAGAATCAGGGTTGGCTGAACTTGCCCTCGTCTTCCGTATATGCAGACTTTTTGTATCATTGATGATCGGTAAAAATGTATTCACAAAATAAATGTGTTGTATCAATGACGCCATTTTCTTCCAGTCAAAGCTAAAGTAGATACTAGGTCGGGTGGCGCAGTGGATAGCGCGCCTGTCTTCACCAAGATTGCAGGATTCATGAAAGCACCAATAAAAAGATAAATGCAACGGATATCAGTTCCAAGATTTTCCGGTTATTTTTCATCCGTCCGGAAATAACCGATGAAGGCCGATGGAGTGTGACGTGCTTGCGACGTCATATTATGATAATCCTAAACGACGTTACATGCCTGCTAGTATCATAATTTATGTGATAGATTTTTTTCACTCAGAATGTATATTAGTTTTTATCTAAAAAAACAAGTAATAAAACATGAGGATTGTTTTCACTATATGAAGATGATTGTGTATGGGTTGAAACACAATTATCTTTGCTTCAAGGGTACACTTTCGGTTTCCCCACTGGATGTCTACTTACGGACGAAAAAAAATAAAGGCAATGAGTAGTAACGGGAAGCAGACTCTGTTTACGCATGCATGTGTTACCATTAAAGAGCTTCGCTCCAGAGCCTTTGGCGCCCGAGAGCTACGCTCTTATTAATCACATTTGTTGGCATGGATATTAGCGAACAGGGTGCCTTACTGTGGCAGGAAACCGAGTACCCAGAGAAAACCCACGTGACCCCATACCCTTTCATGTCCGATCGGGGTATCGAACCCTGGCTGCCTTGGTGAAAACAAACGCGCTATCCACTTCATCACCCGACCACCCAGTAAAGTACAGAAATTACCTGTGTAATAAGAATTTGACTTTTCTATTTCAGTTGGAAATGGTGGTATGCTTATCCTCAGACTGTTCCCAATGTAAATATTTAAGGTCGATGAGGTAATTTGTGGAAAAACTTTAAAATCTTGCTGTTTCAATTTAGTGATTGTTTTTCTCAAAAAATTCTTCAACATCAATTTCTGAAAATAAAACAGGCATTTTTGTTCAGGCACAGAATATGTTATTCCTATTTTGAATACTTTTTTTTTCTTTTTTTTTCTGTAGATAATAAATAACAAGTTCTGTTTTGATCATTTCCCATCATTTTATTAGCCAAGGAAAATCTTAAACCTCAACACCTAACACTACACATTTTAGCCTCACTTTCTACATCCAGTAAACACTTTGACGAAATGAAAAACCTATAAAAATTGTACAGCCACAGAAAGACGGTCCTTAGGCCAGTACAAATGGACTGGATAGAATAGTCACTGAAAAAGCACTATTAACCTTAGAAGTAGATTTCAAACACAGTATGTCGTCATTCTTTTGTTTGGATAGATCACCAATATGAGATTGATTACAACTAGAAGTAGGCAAGGAAGGTACTTGCAAGTATTTTTGTAGAGGTAGCAGGCATATGTTGCCAACTTTGTGACAATCCTTAAGCCTCTAACGGTACCCCACTGGAAGACATTCAGAAATGACTGTCCCTCTTATCACTAGTTTCACATCAGTCTCCTTCCCGTCAAGTGCAGCCTTCACCTTTAGCACCCCTGAAATGAAATTTAATTACATATAGTGTATATATATCAACAGAAAGTATATGCATTAAATAGTAGTTGATATATACATGGTACATACAAGGTTTGGTGATCATCTATGCCACACAATATACAAAAAAGACCAGTTTTATTGCCAAGTAAACAAGTTTTATAAAAAGGATGCATTCTTTTCACATTCATTGGACGTAAAAAACAACATTGAACAATCAGAAACGATGGAGTTAAGGGGGAAGATGACCCCATCTCAAGCTATGCAACTCCCCCAACCCCCCCGCAAGGCACACACTCAAAAAGGAATTAACACATTTTAATACATGTATTTCGTCCGGATTGGAGGTTGGGAAGCAGTTCAAATGGTATATTTGTACATCTAAACAGTTTTAGGATATTAAAGTCAAAAATGTTTTTAAAGCAGAGACATATATTTCGAGCAACTAAATATTATATTTATGAGGAATATATCTCCCTGCTTTAAAGAAAGATACAATGTATTGATCATTGGCAAAGCTTGCTAGGTCTTCTGTTTGCAAATTTAGGGATTAAATTCACCTGCTTATCAGTCTATAGGCAGCTATGTGTCTGCAAACACATTATGCAGTTGAATTGTAGGGGTTTGGGGTGCATCTGCACTGGTAAAGTAATATAGGTTATAGGCAGAATTTTAAAGTAAGGTAACACTGCTGCAATCAACCTTTAAGCAAATCATTGTTGTACATATTGTACCCAATTCAATTTTATTACCTTCTGTATGCAATTCCTAAATATTCACATTCTGGCAGAATCTGTCCTGCAAGTCACAAACTAAATGTGGGGAAGACACTGATGCCTTATTCTTCTGAATGTTGTTTCTGGGTGGCATCTACTTTCTGTTTAACTGTTTGATAAAAAAACAGCATCACAATAAATGATAAACCAACCACAGAAAACATCACTGCATAATACCAGTTTGTCCATTATGATGAGAATGAAATGATGAGGTCACAAAAAATTAATGTGTAAGCACAATATACCATGTGAAATAAACTGGAAAAAAAAGCAGGGACAAATGAGGTTTGAAAAGGAATTGATAAAAAATTGACTAGGTTGGTTGTTAAGATTTTAAGTACAGTATAATGACAGTATTTTAATATATATATATATATATATATATTGAGTTTCTCTGTCAGGGGTGTGTAAAACTGTAGATATCAACTATTTCAACACTTGGGCTGGTAGATTTAATATCAATTTGGGCTAATGGAAATGTTCAATATTTACTATGAAAAGATAGATTGGGCTAGTAGAATGTTTTAAAACTAACTTGTTTGTGAAAATGAAATTGTACATTTGAAAACATGAAAAATGGGTGGAGACATTTTTTTTCATTTGGAAAAATATAGAACAGGGACACCTTAAGCGAATAATTTTGTTTTAAATAATGGCACAGTGCATCAAATAAATAAGGCATCTATTTGGCAAGGCTCATACATAATTTCAGAATTTCACAAATAAAATATTTTAAATTGAAATAATTCCAATATTTGAATATTTTTTATCCATAGATTTGTTTTTATTATAACACTTATTATATTATTACATGTGTAGTCCTACTTACCGACACACTCAGGAGAATTTCAGTGGGGCGGATATATAGGTGTCTCTGCCAGGAACGGTTATAGGAGAAAAGGGCATCTCTTCCACTTGTAACACTGTATTAGGATGTGGTCATCCCAGTCACTTCATCTACATACCTGATACAATAAGGAAAACAAGTTGAACTCTTAACACATAATAAAGATATTCTGAGTCACATAAGTAGGTACATTTAAATTGAAATTTTGTATGATAATGTTGTATTTTTTTCTAATATGAGTGGTTCAGCCAGATTATGAATGCATTAGGTTCATAGGTCTAAACTCCATACTGTTTTATTATTATTATTGCATGATAATAAATGTTTTGTTTTGCTGTATGGTTCTGCCCATTACACAATTTCTATTCATGATTTGATTTTTAAAGCATTTATTCATTAATCTCATTATACAATAAAAATAATACCAATTGTTCTTAATGTTTACATACCTAGAAATCTTTGCTGTACATGCTCATATTTTACAGCATGTTTTTCTTTCTTCCGAGTGTAATCATAGAACTGCACCATACCACAGGACCCTGTGGTCATGCTTAAGAAAATGTGTCATAACATTCAATAAGATAATGCACGTTGATATTATTGAAAGTGCAGAAAACATGAATTGCCGATTGACTTAGATATATTTGTGTTTTGAAACAGGAAGTGTACACGTGAAAGTTAGTCGGTCTTCAGCCCTTGTGACTTAGGCTTGTCCCACACGCCTGAACCTGGCACACATTTTGCACGATTAGAAGCCAAAGAAACGGGAAAGAAATGAATGAACTAATCGTCTATTACTGCAGATATCACATCGTAACATCCATATACTTTAAATTACTACATATCACAAGTTCTTCCGTAGCACAATCTACCGGAAGTGTGCGTACCAGAAATCTGAGAAATCCCTGGCGCCTCGATATTTAAGTCGATTTGATTAATTATTGATATCTAAAGTGTCTAATATTGTTTGAATAATTAAGAGATAATCTTCTAGTTGCAGATGGTATATAGGTTGTATATGTTTCGGGAATAAAAGAAGAAATATTTTATATTCTTGTATAGCAAGTGATATTTCCGTTTTCGCGCGAAACAGAAATAGAACACAGCATTATGACGTCAACCGCAATTCCTGTTTTCTCCCTTTTCATTGGCTAGAAGTCACTTCCGGATTCCCCACTGGAGGGCTACTTCCAGACGGAAAAATTCAAGGGCAAGGTGTAGAAAGGGGAAGCAACTCTCTTTACACAATTAAAGAGCTTCGCTCGGGCGCCGAATAACTGTATTGGTCCGGACCCTGACTAAATGTAGGAATATTTACTTTGTTAGTCTGGAGGACAATGGTAGAGGTTAGTCTGGACCGTGCACAGAAGTGAGAAATATTAACCAGATTAACTGGACAAATAAGGGGTAAAAGAAATACAACATGTTAAATCTTACTTACCGGAATAAAATAAGATAGTCTGATTACGCTTGTCTTGACCCCGAATTTAACTGAGAAATATTGATAAGGTTAATCCGGACACCTTATAAATTCAAAAATTTCAATCTAGCGAATCTGGACACAATATCAAATCAAGGAATAGTGACCTTGTGACCTTTAATAAGGTAAGGCTATTTTACGTCGTTTGTCTTGACAATGGCTTCTTAGTTTCTAAAATATCTTCTGATTACATATATGAAAGTATTAATAAAATGTTTTCAAATATTTTTGTCAGGACATGAAACCACTTAAATAAAAGGATTGTATATCTTTGATTTAGCAGAATATTCTATATCTTAACGATAAATTTTGCTAAAAGTGTTTATTTTCCAAAATTGTATTTGATTGCGTTTTGCTGAAAAATGCTGATTTTTTATGAAAGAAATAACTGTGTGTTTTCTAAGCAAGCGGCACAATTATGAAGAGTAACATGTTTCTGTCTAATGTAAAATGATTATATCCCTATTATAACAATGTAAAAAACACATCCTCAAAGCCAACATTAATATTAAGCAACATTACAAAACCCTATAACAATGAAAAACATCCTCAAAGTCAACATTTATATTGAGCAACATCACAAAACCCTATAACAATGAAAAACATCCTCAAAGTCAACATATATATAAAGGAACATCACAAAACCCTATAACAATGAAAAAAAAATCCTCAAAGTCAACATTAATATAAAGCAACTTCAAAAAACACTAAAACAATGAAAAAAACATCCTCAAAGTCAACATTAATATAAAGAAACATCACAAAACACTATAACAATGAAAAAAATCCTCAAAAAACATTAATATAAAGCAACATCACAAAACCCTTTAGCAATGAAAAACATCCACAAAATACATTAATATAAAGCAACTTCACAAAACGCTATAACAATGAAAAAAAAATCCTTAAAGTCAACATTAATATAAAGCAACATAACAAAACCATATAACAATGAAAAACATCCTCAAAATACATTAATATAAAGCAACTTCACAAAACCCAATAACAATGAAAAAAAAATCATCAAAGTCAACATTAATATCGAGCAACATCACAAAACACTATAACAATGTAAAAAACCATCCTGAAAGTCAACATTAATATTAAGCAACGTCACAAAACCCTATAACAATGAAAAAAAAATCCTCAAAGTCAACATTTATATGAAGCAACATCAGAACATTACAAAACACTACAACAATGAAAAAAACATCCTCAAAGTCAACATTAATATAAAGCAACATCACAAAACACTAAAGCAATGATAAAAAACATCCTCAAAGTCAACATTAATATTAAGCAACATCACAAAACCCTATAACAATGAAAAACATCCTCAAAGTCAACATTAATATTAAGCAATATTACAAAACACTATAAAAATGAAAAATAAAAACATCCTCAAAGTCAACATTAATATCAGGCAACATCACAAAACCCTATAACAATGAAAAACATCACCAAAGTCAACATTAATATTAAGCAACATCACAAAACACTATAACAATGAAAAAAAATCCTCAAAGTCAACATTAATATTAAGCAACATCACAAAACACTATAACAATGAAGAAAACATCCTCAAAGTCAACATTTATATTAAGCAACATCACAAAACACCATAACAATGAAAAAAAACATCCTCAAAGTCAACATTAATATTAAGCAACATCACAAAACCCTATAACAATGAAAAACATCCTCAAAGTCAACATTTATATGAAGCAACATCACAAAACCCTATAACAATGAAAAACATCCTCAAAGTCAACATTAATATTAAGCAACATCACAAAACCCTATAACAATGAAAAACATCCTCAAAATACATTAATATAAAGCAACTTCACACAACCCTATAACAATGAAAAACATCCTCAAAATAAATTAATATAAAGCAACTTCACAAAACCCTATTACAATGAAAAAAACATCCTCAAAGTCAACATTCATATCAAACAACATCACAAAACCCTATAACAATGGGAAAAAACATCCTCAAAGTCAACATTCATATCAAGCAACATCACAAAACCCTATAACAATAAAAAAAAAAAAACATCCTCAGAGTCAATATTAATATCAAGCAACAAAATAAAATTGCACGTTATTATAAAATCAACACTATCAAATATAATACAATACAAATCCGTATCAGTTTTTATTCTTTTTTTCTTAAGCGCGATTGATGTATTGTTTGCCGTGGTGGGTATGTTATATCACTGTGATGTAGTCAGAGATGTTATGTTGGAGATTCTGGTTTATTGGACAACTGTTTTACTGTCCTTGATGGCTCTAACGTATATTGTAATGTAACAATATTGCACTGCTCCTGATCAAATATTTTGCATAAAGTTTAAACTAAAAAGTGTCCATGGCACAAAATTTAAGTTTTAGCTATTGAGTGTTTTTCATGAACGTTTTGCATTAAGTGTATACTGTGTTATTTATTGGCGTAAATTGTGCAGTTTCCTCTGGCCCTGACACTTGACTTTTGACAGGTAGACATCTATCTGTCAAAATGTTTACGTCTGGTGTTAGAGCCAGAGGAAACTCGGGCTAGGGTTTTAACGTATTCATCCCTGAAATTTCATAATGAACGATTCTAATCATTAAATAGGAAGAGTTAAAATGTGTCTTTAGGGGTGAATGAGTTAAAACGTATCTTGTACATGTTCCATGGTGAAATGTTTAGATTCAGTGTAAATTGTACAGAGTTAGCAAGGTCAACCGGTTACAGCTGCAAAAGTCGTGATGGAAATTGTTCTGGTCCTATAGTCTGATCGATTGATGTTGCCCAAAGGGATGGTACGCTGCGCGTTACATTTGAACAGATAAATAAAAAATCAAACGAGAAGTTAAACCGCAGTGATCATGAGTTGTGATGGTTATGATACGCCACTAGTACGACAACAAACATGCGATGTGAAGTTGTAGTTTAACATAATGTTAGGGGTAACAATATGAAGTTATCATAACATCGTTTTTAGAAAGAATGAGGTTAAGTTGACATTTTGTATCACTATTGTCATGGTGATGCCTCGGGCATGTAATGCCTTGTAAAAGTACATTCATGTATTTTATATTCTATATTAATTATAGTGGTGTGTATTGGTCCACGTAAGTCAGGCAAAAAAGTAATTATATTTATCTATTTCATCTTTGCCAGATATGTCTTCAAATCTTATTTAATAATAGATTTTTCCATTAAGTTTGCCTAATAGAGGCCACTGACATAAATATCAGGGGCCGGTTGCTCGAACGTTCATTTAAAGTTAATGATGGATTAAACCTTCATTAAACCTTCATTAAATAGCATGACGTCATTAGGAAAATGATGACGTTGCTCAAACGTTCATTAACGCTAATGAATGATTAGCGGTTCATTAAAGCTTCATTAAGTCGTCAATATTTAATGATGGTCGGGGGCATCCTTAAACCTTCATTATAACACTAAAAAAGGCAGCGATGAATATCATGTTGACGTACTTGGAAGACAGCTTACAAACATATATCGACTGTACGTCCTAATTTTGTATGTGTTATACTGGGATCTACTAGATATCGATAGTACGTCCTAGTTTTGTATGGGTTATACTGGTACATGTATCTACTAGATATCGATTGTAC